CGGGGGGAGGAGCGTAGCTCATGGGGGAGGAGGCATCTCCCAGCGCTGGTAGGATCCGCCCCAAGGCGCTGGGCCAGTCCCTCCCCTGCCCCGCCGCCCCGTCCTGCAGCCCTGAGCGGGGGTGAGGGGCGCTCTCCCCTGCCCTCGAGTCTGTGCAGCTCCCTCCCGGTTCCCCTCCTCCCCCGGAGCCGGCAGCTCTGCCTTGATCCTGCGGGCGGGCGCTAGGAAGCGCGAGGAGTGTTTACACTGCAAGCGCCGCTCCAGCGGCTCAGTGTAGACCTCGGGGCAGTGCAACCCGAGGGGCGGTTCCCGGGGCTGAGGCTAATTCATCTCCCCCAGAAACCCAGGCAGGGCGCTGGAGGAATTCTGGTCACCGACTGAGGGGTTAGATCGGTCTAATTGCATATCCCCCCCGAGTGTGAATTTTCACACCCCTCCAGAGGCAAGCTGGGTGGATGTAGGTTTTTTTGGAGTAAGGCAGCCCTTTCCCCTAGCTGTCTCCCCCAGCTCATTGCAGCGGAAGGAAGCCTTAGCAGTGCAGATGCAGCAGTTGTTATCCTGTGGTGCTTCAGTGTGGACCTATAGTCAATCCTTCTCCCGGAGGAGTAGGGTGGCAGAACAGTTCTGCTGTCCCTGCTGCCGGTTAGCTTGGCGTAGCTCTGCATGGCTCTCACCCCTGAGAGAGGTGGCTGTGCGGGTGTCACTTCCACCATGTCACCTACTAATTACAACCAGTTGCCCTATTCTGGTTTGAGCAGGCTGCAGCCCTTAAGCCTAGCTCAGACAGGAGGGGGAGATCATCACAAGAAACTCGGCTGTGTTTCTGATACTGTGGCAACCGCAGCTTTCCTATTCACTTCCAGGATTTTTGCAAAAAAACCTAAAGGTTGTTCTTCCAAACCCACATGTTCATTAAATGTGGGAATATCTGGCAGCAAAGGCTCAACTCCTGTTCTCCCTCTTCAGAAGTAACATGACTGTGATGTGCTGAAGCTTGTTAGTGGACTTTCTCAGCGCTAGGAGTATGGCGACAGTTACTGGATGTGGTAGGGAAGGAATGGCCAGGCTGGGTCAGCACCATGGTCCATCTAACCCACTAGCTGTCAGGTGCTTCAGAGGGAATAAACAGAACAGGGCAATTTATTGAGTGATCCAGTCCCAGCTGTTAGTGCGTAGGGACACCCAAAGCATAGGGTTGCATCCCTGATCATCAGTAGCCATTGATGGTGCTGTCCTCTAGGAACTTATTTAATTCTTTTTCAAACACAATTTCTGGCCTTCACAACATCCGCTGGGAACAAGTTCCACAGGTTGACTGTGTGAAGAAATACTACTTTTGTTTGTTTTAAGCATCTTGCTTATTAGCTTTGTTGGTCTCTAGTTCTTGTATTATGTGACAGAGTAAATAACACTTCGCTGTTCACTCTATAGCATTCATGATTTTATAGGCCTTTAGTCATCTCTTTTTCTTAAACTGAATAGTCCGTCGTTTTAATCTTTCCTTGTGCAGAAGCTGTTTCATGCCTTTAATGATTTTTGTTGCTCTTCTCTGTACTTTTCCCAATTCTAATACTTTTTTTTTCTTTTTTTTTTAAAGATGAGGCAACCAAAGCTGAATTCAAAGGGTGGGTGTAACATGGATTATCTAGTGGCATTAAGATATTTTCTGCCTAGTTATCTAGCCCTTTCCTAATAGTTCCTAGCATTGTATTGGCTTCATTTGCTGCTGCAGCATTTTAACCAGATAATAGTTCTCTGAAAATATCCACGATAATGCCAAGATCTCTTCTGAGTGGGGAAAAAATAGCAACTATAAATATAAAAGGAAGGGGGTCCTATGTACCCTCTAATCTTTTCCATTCTTGTGTGGCTCTTTCCATCCTAGTGCAGAATAATTTTGTTATATGCACTGAAGTATGTGCAAATGTGCACCACCAGTAGAAACAAAAAACCTAGCAGTGGGCACTCTGTGAATTAGATGGTTGGCATTTGAGTTTCTCCTGAGTGGCCATACAAACACACAGCTTACAGGGAACACAGAGGAGGGTCCTGTATTATTTGTTGCCAGTGTGCATGACTGTTTCTATCAACATTGACTCTCATATGCCACTTTCTTACCAAGTCACCCAGTTTTCTGAGATCCCTTTATAACTCTTCACAATCAGCTTTGGACCTAATTATCTTGAGTAATTTTGTTTAGTTTGCAAACTTTGCTACCTCACTGTTTACTCCTTTTACCAGGTGATTCATGAATATATCGAACAGTACTAGTCGTAGGAGCTTCATAGTTTTTGACTTCAGGTGTCTTTGAAAGACTGGGTCCAAGAACAACAGCTACTGACGTATGGTGCTACCTAATGCATTTGATCTCTTAAATTGGTCACAGTTTTATAATTGGACCGATTCCTGTAAAATTCTAAGGTTGTGCTCATTTGTATAGAAAGGGGAGGAGAACAAATGCTGTGGGTTTTTTTTTGCCTCAATAGGTCGTAACAGAATGGTTTGGTCAAAGATGTGCATGTTACAGGAGTAAGGATGCAAGTGGATATTAAACTGGAGTGGGACACTGAAGGGAATCAGGCCAGAAATTTAATTCTTGTTTTTGTTTTTTAAAATGTGCCATGACTAGCTATGTTGCAGTTATTACCAGTGTTACAGTAGTGCAAGTAAACAAAGCACATTGATAGTGCCTAGAGTCCTAAGAACACGTGAGACGGACCGACAGCTATTTTCAGTGACTTGTGACCCTGTTCCTCTTTGGAAGGATCCCTGACAGTATCGGTCTCTCTGTGCAACCAGCCCACGCTTTCTCTTTGGCTTCATCAAGCGAAGAGAAGCAGAGCTCGGGCACAGCTGGTTCTTTGCTGTATCCCATGTGACTGGATCAGCTCTGACTTCTCCAGAAGATGGCACTGCAGTCAGAGGGAAGTGAGCGCTCTTGGCAGCTGGAGAACACTTGCATGATTGGGAATTGGCATTCTCCGAGCCCAATTTGCTCAATACCTCCCCTCGCAAATCCTCAGTGGGTACCTAATATCGAGTGATCCATCCCCCCGGGGGTCTCCAGTTCTCCCCTGCGCCAGCTAGGCCAAAATGATCCAGGGGGGCTGAATGTAGATGATCTTTAAAACTGCCACCAGCCTGGTGTAGACGGTGCCTCTGAGTGTCTTGGGTAGGGTTAGGAGTGGGGCCAGGCTGGCTGGGCTGTATCAGAGGAGTAGGCAGGTGCATTCTGTTGCGTGTGACTTTCTGGAGGAGTTAGCTGTCTGTGGTCGAGATGCCACACAACGTGGTCTGTCCAGGTTGAGGTCAGCTGTAGTTTAACACTCCCCCACCCCCCCCGCCCACGGGTGTGTTGGTGCTCAGAGCCTTGGCCAGGCTGCTTCTGCTCCTTATGGCCTAATTTTGCAACTGTTACCAGGGCAACATGTGGGAGCCATCCCAGTGAAGGCAGCTGGACTCCTGGGTGGATGGGCTGCTTGGCAGAAGTCAGGGTCGCACAGTTGGGCAGAGGGGGCGGGGCCTGTTGCAAAGAACTGCTGCCAACCGGTGTTGCAGACGCTTGCAAGAGGCAGGGGTGGCCTGATTCACACCTGCTGGGTTTGTGTAAGATAAAGCGAAGGGCCCCCAGGCGAGCGTGGCTGCTGCCCTGTTTGCAGAAACCAGGCCTGGCTGATTCTCTGCAGACATGGAGGCTTTCAGGTGAGCTGTGACAGCACCAGCCAAGTCCCTCTCCAGATGGGGGTTACAGGATTACCAGCTGTGTATGTGCAACCCCCCCCACACCCACACACAAAACACTATGGGGGGGGCCCAACATGTAATTCTAGCCCTGGAGGGAGGTGTTGGCTTGATGGCCCTGCAGGCCAAAGTCCTCTAGTTATATGCAGAACAGTAGCAGAGCAGACTCCTCCCCTCCATACCTATGTTTGGAGGGGAGCCCTGCCCATGAAATGTCTGCCCCAGTGGTAGGGGGGTGGGTTTGCAGGTGAGGGCAGGGGCTATTTGAAGTGGTTGCCTTTTGGGGGAGGCAGGGGAAGAGGGAAAGTAACACCGACAGGCAGAACTGAACCTGGGACCTCAAGCTTAGTGCATGAGGCTGCACAGCGTGAGCTAAAAGCCAGCTGGTTCTCCGTTAAGGCCGCAGAGCAAATTCATTCTCTCTCTGTAGGGGATCTAAGTGCCGCTGTGTGGGCCGTGCACCACACCCAGTAGGTGTGTGGGTTACACTAATGCAGCGTCTTTTTTTTTTTTTAATAGGGTTTTGGGGGTGGAGGGAGAATAAAACAGTGGTGATTCATCAGAGTTAGCCCATGGTGGGCTGCTGCTGCTAAATTGACCTGCCCCTTCACAGGTACGGGGGCCAACAGGAGCTGTGATTATTTTTCCCCCACACATCCCCTGTACCTGCAGAGCCGCAGGTAAATATGGTGGCGTGGGGGCCCACCAGGGGCTAACCCTCCTTGGCAGACCAGATCCAGCCTGTGGGCTGGTATTTGCCCACCCTTGGGCTAGGGGGTCACTAACTTGCAGACTCTCCTGTCTCTCTTTTTTAATCCTAACTCTCTGGTTTGACACTGCATCCGTCCCCAAGGTTTGACTGAAGTTCTCGTCCTGTAGGGCTCCCATGAGGGGCGCGCCAAAGTTGATCTGGATGCAGGCTCCAAAGCTGCCGTAAGCTGGTTCTGGGTGTCCCTGGGGTGGCCGGGGTTATGCTGCATTGGACCCTTACCGCCTGTAACCCCCCTGCTGCCTCCTGCGCCCTGATGCCCGTGACGAGAGCGCTGTCCTGTCTTGCAGAGCTGCAATGGCAACATGCTGCTGGAGGAAGTTGAGCCGAGGGGCCTGATGGACGCCCTGGTGCTGAACGGCAGGAAAGTGGACGAGCTGCCTGCCGTGACCCACAGCCCACTGGAGGGATCCCACAAGGAGGCAGCCCTGCGACTCCTGGGCATGGAGCTGGAGAAGAGCCCCTTGCTACATTCGGCCTACATCCCGGTGCCCAGGCAGAGGTAGGAGCTTTGCTGCCAGGATGGGGATGGTCCGGGAAGGGGGGGGTGAGGAGGGGAGTATCTCGCTGCCTCTGCAGGGGAGGAGTTGCAAATCCCATTGATCGAAGCTGCTCAGCCCGGCCTGCGGGGAGCCCTTTCTCCCCTGACCTTCCAGGAGAGGCTCTTCCTGCCGTGCACCAGCGTGTTCTCCCCACCCTGCCTGAAGGGCTGGGACTGTGGGCCCTGGGGGGCCCAAGTCCTCTAGTTAGACGCAGCATGTTTAGTTGGGGATTGGCTCTGCTTTGGGCAGGGGCTGGGACTTCACGGCCTGCTGACGTCTGTGCCAGCGCCAGCCCTGGGATTCTGTGATGTCTGCCCAGTGTGGCTTGGCCCATGGGGGAAATCTTCCAGAAGAGTCTGTTTAAAAATCCTACTGACAAATAGCTGGTTCTCCACCTGCAGGGGTGTACCGGAGATGCTACGGCCCCGCTACTTTGGGTGCTGTGAGTAGGAAGAGCAGAACCCATGGGGCAGATCTTCTCTTGGAGGGGCTGGGTTTTATTTTTACAGGGTTGACCCATGGGGACACCCATCCCTCGTGGTCAGTCCTGGCTGGCCTAATGGAGTGGCATGATGGATGTGCTTGGATCCAGGTGCAGGATCTGCTTTGGTATTCGTGTGTGTGTGTGTGTGTGTGTGTGTGTGTGTGTGTGTGTGTGTGTGTGTGTGTGTGTGTGTGTGTGTGTGTGTGTGTATGTTGGTGGCTGCTCTTGGTTGTGTTGACCGGTTCAGGAGGGACTCCCACCTGTTCCTTCTGAGCGGGATGGCTCTATCATGGGTTCTCCTGCGGGCCCGCCTCCCTGGGGTCTCTGAAACAGAGTAGCCGTCCGGATAAAATTGGGGGACATGAATGGGCCTTCTTTCTGCCTCGTGGTGACCCTTGGATTTCTTTGTGTCTCTGTCCTTGAGGGGGCCCCAGCTTCTCCTGGAAAGAGGGACTCCCACCTGTTCCTTCTGAGCGGGATGGCTCTATCATGGGTTCTCCTGCGGGCCCGCCTCCCTGGGGTCTCTGAAACAGAGTAGCCGTCCGGATAAAATTGGGGGACATGAATGGGCCTTCTTTCTGCCTCGTGGTGACCCTTGGATTTCTTTGTGTCTCTGTCCTTGAGGGGGCCCCAGCTTCTCCTGGAAAGCCACAGCGGAATATTTTGCTGCCAGGGCTTGTGCTGAGATGAGGTTTGTGGAGCAGAAGGTGGCAGAGGGGAAATGGGGTTGAGTGAAGCCAGGAGAGGAGGCTGACACTAGCATGTATCTGACTGGTTTCAAGCCAAGTGGCAGGTGTCCTTCCGAGGAGAAAGGTAACTTATTTTGCCTGATGTTACAGGCTTGGGATGGATAAGCAGCCATCAGCTGTTGTGGGGCTTTGCACTCCAGCCCCAGTGTGTCCCCTTCTCAGTCTAGCCCGGCCCTGTCCGTTGGCAGCTACTGTATTGCCGGAAGATGTTAGATACGTGCAGGCCCGTCTGTGATGGGGCTCCTAGCAGCGCTGGGCTCTGAGTCAGGCATGCTGGCCTGCCACTTAAAGCTGCACAGCATCTGTGCTGGGGAAACACCAGGCTAAAAATAAACCAAATTGTGAGGCAATTATGTATTTTTAATCTTCTTAGATTTCAGGATAGAGGCGCCCTTGTTTTCCGTGGGCTCTGCCGGCGTTTTAAAAAGGCAATGGAAGGGGAGGGACCCGGGATCTGCTACTAGTTGTGTAAGGTGGATGCAGGCTGAGTGACGCCTAGCAGAGAAGAAAGAATAAACCAAATGTTGCTGTTCTGACCCAGGGGATCTGCAATTGTGAGTTGTCAGAGTGGGGCAATTGGGAGGATTCGTGTCTGGATAGCTTCCATCCAGGAGTTTTAAAGAGTTGGCTGAGAAGCTTGCTGGCTGATGGCTTTTTTTTTTTTGGTTGTTCCCCATCTTCTGTAATTCTTGGAATAATGGGGAAGTTCCAGAAGACGGGCAGGAAGCACAACAGCTGACTTGGGTTTTGTTAATGAAGATTTAGAGGGAAGAATAATGCCAGGCAACATGGGCTTATGGAAAAAAGTGTGTGTGTGTGTGTGTGTGTGTGTGTGTGTGTGTGTGGTTTTTTTTTTTTTTAAATGGGATTACAAGTCCGGTTGATAAAGGTAACAGTGTTGCTATAATGAAGTGGTTCCCAAACTTTTCATCATCATGCCCCCTTCTTAATTTTTTAGAAACCCTTACACCGCCGCTCCCCCCAACCCTAACCACAAACCCCCCTCCTCCCATAGCAGCAAAACTTGTTGAGCGAGCAAAAAAAAAAAAACCTGACCGGGGCTCAGTCTGAAAAACAAAAATAGCAGCAAAACTTAGGGGGAGAGGATTGACGGGGGGGGCTGGGTCGCCTTGTGCTACCGCCACCTTCCCCTGCCCCCCAGTTTGGGATCCCATGCTATAATGCATTTACACTTTTGTAAGGCATTTGATTTGGTACGGCACAACATTTTGATTTTTTTAATTCAGAGAAGACCTGTGCTAGAGTGGGGGGGGCCCCTTCTTGCTTCATAATCTAGGTGACTGAAGGTTTTAAGGTGCCCTAAGAAAGGGAAAACTCAGATTCCTGGATTCCAGAGTACGAAGCGAGGGCAAGGAAATATGTAACAAGGCACTTGAGACCAAATCCTTTCTAGGTACTTAAATTACGCTCTTCTATCCTGTTCAGAGTAGAAGCCATCCCTAGAGAAAGGCCCTTGTTTCTCCTCACACATCACCCCTGTGTGGGTGAATGCTCTGTTCGAGTTGAGCCGAAAGCTGGGATGTCCCATCTGCAGCAGACGGCCTCTTGCACCACTGAAACAGCTTGTGTGTCTCCTGGTTGGTTTGTCTTGGAGCGCTTGGCCTTCTCATGGACTTTAAGACCAAAAGAAACCTTTGTAGGGCTGGAAGGGTCCTCGATCTTCTAGTCCATTACCTAGACCAGGGGTGAGCAATCATTTTTGATGGGGCGGCACTCCAAGAATTTAAGTGGTCAAAGGCCATATTCTTCCATGATATTAATGGAGGAGGTGTGGCGTTGGGGACTGGAGGTTGGCTGCAGAAGGGAGCCTGGGGTAAGGAATTGGGGTGTGGAATCTGGGAGGAAGCTTGGGTGAAGGAAGGGGACTGGGGCACTGTGTTACAGAAGGGGGTGTGGATGCAGGAGAGGATTCTAACCTTGAGGAGGCGTGTAGGAGGGGATGCAGGGGCTTGGGTTGTGACCTGGGGGATTAAGGGGAAAGGTCTGGGAGGGGATTGTGACTTGTAGAAGGGCATGCAGGCTCTGGGAAGAGGTATGGGTGCAGGAGCGGGGGTGCAGAAGGTTTGGGTTACAGATTGTAGGGGGGCAGAGTTTTGGGGGAAGGGAAGGGCTGGTGTGGCAGAGGCAGGCTCTGGCTGAGAGACACCTGGGTGGCTCCCAGCCAGCAGCCCAGCTGGTTCTTTAGCCTGGGTCCTGGTCTTCCATGCCCCAGCACATGCTCAGAGCAGCTTCAGGGGCCATGTGTGCTGCTCTGAACTGAGCACTGCGAACCTGTGATGGGGGAGGGTACTTCACATCCTGTAAACAGGCCGTTCCTGTTGGCTGGAAACTGGCCAATGGGAGCGTCAAGATTGTGCTGATGGCAAGGGCAATGTTAGAAGCCTCCTATGGCTTGTAGCATTCGCAGATGCACATGGCACCACAGCTGGCTTTGCTCAGCACCGAGAGGGAGCAGGGCAGGTAGGGAGCCTGAATGAGACTCTCACGAGCTGGATCTGGGGGCATGGCGAGCTGGATGCTGTCCACGGGCCGTATTGTTGTCCTGACCTAGACCATCCCTGGCAGGTGTCGGTGCAACCTGCTCTTAAAGATCTCCTGCGATGGAGATTCCACAATCCCTCTCGGCAATTGATTCCAATGCTTAACCCCGTGGACAGGAAGCTTTTCCTACTGTCCAACCTAAGCTGTCCTTGCTGCAATGTAAGCCCATTGCTGCTTCTCCTAGTCTCAGAGGTTAACAACAAGGAGAAGGTAAATAAATGGTTTTTAACAACCTTTTGTGTACTTGACCATTGTTGTCATGTTCCCTCTCGGTCTTCTCTTCTCCAGGCTAAGCAAATCCTTTTTTTTTTAAAGACTGAGTTGGAGAATCAACCATGTATTCTAGTTCAGGGCCACAAGTGACCCATGCCCTATGCTGCAGACCCGTGCCCTATGCTGCAGAGGCAGATGAAAAGTCACAGGATCTCTGCCAATCGGATGTGGAGGGAAATTCCTTCCTGATCCCAAATGTCACCGTATGGGCAAGACCCACCAGCCAGTCATCGATGAACAAATTCTCCATCTTAACAGCCCTTCCAGTCGAATACTGTTTTCAGTCATTGAGCTATTTGCTAATAATAGTCGTGGATGAGCTGTGTGCGGTTGTAGTTAATCTCATAAAATCCCCGCCGTAAACTTCACAAGGTCAGTCTTGCCACAAGTTAGTTAGGTTCTTTTGTCCTCATTCCCCTTAGAAGGATGCTGCAAAATTTCACTTCCGTTGGCTATCGCCCTTAATCTAATTCAAAGCCTACACTTGTTGATGGCCAGTTTATAGCCACTTGTTGTGTCAGCATTGGCCTTTAATTTAAATAATGCCTTTCCCTTTCTGGTGTGAGATTATATATATTTAGAGCAGCAGTTCCTAACTGCTGGTCTGTGAACAGCTGGATGTGGTGGGTTTGGGGGCTAGAGCTAGGATACACTGCCCAGCGCCTCCCCTTCTGCTGCGGCTGCTGGGAGAGGCGTGTCCTGCCCCACCTCTTAGCCAGCCAGCACCGGGCATGGAAGACTAGTTCGCTGTGCAGTGGAAGGGCCGTGTGAAGCCCGGCACGGTGGCCGTAGAGCAGCTGTGACCGTTGGCAGCAGTGCTCAGCTGGGAGGCAGTGCAGGACTAGTTGAGGGAGGCACTGGGGGCTCTGGGATGGGGTGCAGTGGGGCTCTG